TAGCCCACAGTGTCAGGCAGCCTGTGTGTGGATCTTTCTCGAAGCAGACAGTTCACCCTAAGAGCCTAATTGCTCATGCGCCGCAGTCTTGAGGTCTATTCTTAATCTTCAGGCTTAAGTGCAAACCCACACTGCAGAAACTTAGGCAGCAAGAAAGCCAGTGGCTCCGTCAGCCAGAAACCATGGTTCCTGGGGCGGTCTTGTCTCCCTGAGCGAACTGATAAAGGTGGCTGTAACTCACACCTGATCCCTTTGGAGGGGGTGATTGCTGCTCAAGAGAGAGCCGGTCCTCCTGCTGAGTAGCCTGAGGTTGCAGAGAAAATGATGTTCTTGTCTGATCTAGTCATTCATTCAAGCATCTATGGACAATATGCAATCGTTCCAGGGTGAGACTTGGTACTGAGAGAAGCAAAGTTTGTGAGGCGGATTGTTGGGGCAGATATTTTAATTCTGTGTCCAGGGAGAGCCCCGAGCCATCGGTAAACAAGGTTAGGCCAATGCTCTGGGATAGCTAAGTCGTGGGCTCTGGTTGAATTTACAGAAAGAAAGGAAACTGGCCAGAAAAAGTATCTTTTTGAGAAAGGGCATTGACCAAAAGGCAAAGAGAATGAACTCCAGGGAGGTGAAATCTACAATTGCAGAGGACCAGGTTAGCTGTCAGTTTCGTTTTGCTGCTTAGCCTTGCAGAGCATGGAGGGTGTGGCTGCCCGAGGGTAGAGCCAGGTGGTGCCCAGACACCAAATCCGATTGGCTCCTATAGTCAGCCCTCAGAGTTTACATTTCATGTTAAGTGTACCAAACCCTTTGCCAGAGTTAAAACAGGAACTTCCTGGCCTGACCCGTTTTGCACAGAATGTTCTAGCAACAGAGCTAGTGAACACCTGTCATTCCAGAACTCCAGAGACTAAGACAAGAGAACTGTAAGCTCAAAGTCAGCCTGGGTTGCATTCAGAGAATCTGTCTAAAACTGAAGAACATTCTAGGGGGCTGGGATAATTAGGAGGGAGGGGCTATCACCCTGTCCTAGGGGACAATACAGCTGCCCATCTGAGCAGAGGAAGCATGGAAGGGAACCGGTCTCACGAGTCCGTCACTGAGACAAAGAACTGGCAGGGTTGGTTCATTTGCTCGCTGTCCTGCAGCTAAGGTTTTTTGTGGCCAGATTCATACAATGGCCAGGGGTGGAATTAGAAAATTGGTGGGATTAGAAAATTAGTTTGATCTTCAAGCCAAAAATCAACAAAACGATCCTACAGAGTGTCGCTCCCCCCACCCCAACCCACCACCCCTGCCTTGGCAGCATTGTGGCCACTCTTTTTGCTAAGCAAGTGTTCATAAGAATGAATTTGACACTCATCTGCTTATAGCCAGATTTGCACATGATGCCCAACTCATTAAACAATCCATCGACGGCGAGAGAGACGGAGCTTCATTACGCGCCCGGCCGCCCAGGTTCTAGCTGCCTTTCCGTGCTCACCTCCGCTGTCGGAGGCAAACAGAACCGCTTGGATCAAGTGAACAATTTTAAATGTTTAATATTAAAATGTGGTTTCGAGAAACTCCTTGGAACCCTCAGCCATTGTTAAGATACACTCCCTTTGACAGGTGCGCCGGCGCTTTTTTTTTTTTTTTTTTCCTGAGGCTTTTCAATGTGTTATTTTATCGGGTGCATGAGATTTAGTCTATTCTGCGGAGGCAAACAGACAAAAAGGGTCTCTCAGCACGAGTTACTCTGCTGTAAAGGTTATAGTAAACATGTCAATGCCTAATTAAGCAGAAAATTTTATCTGGATTGTGGGGGAGGAATGTGCTGTCTCCGACTTTTCTTCTGGGGACTCCATTTAGAAGGACAAAGTAGATTGTGAGGTTGGATGGGTCTTTAGGAAGCTCAGCACCAAATGTCAGCAGGGGGCAAAAAAAAAAAAAGGAAAAACGGGAAGGAACACTACTTCTTGTCCCCTGGTGGAAATGACCGTATTAGTTGGCAGGGGTGTGTGTGTGTGCGCGCGCACATGCATGCATGCATGCAAGCTTTTCATTCTCTCTGTGATCGTACTACCCATAAGCATGGTGGCAGTATGTTATAGCCTGGAGAAGTCATGAATAATGTTGTTTTCTTGGTATTTGTCCCAGAATCAGAACACCCATTTCCTTTACAAAAGTGACCGAGTTTATTTTATAAAGTTTGCCTGATTTCACTCACAAATGTAAGATCATTTCGCCAAGAGTGGTGGCTCATGCCGACAACGCCAGCACTGAGGCAGGAGGATTGTGAGGGCTCACAGCACCCTTAGGGCTACAAAGCGACACTCAAAAGAAACAGCAGCAGCTAAGTGGCCCACATGGGATGGCTAAAACGTATCTGATTTTTGAAGTATCTTTCATGTCTCAGGAAACTTTTATTTTTTTAATAATTAAGAACTTTCTCCTTGACCGTAATCATGGAATACCTCTTTAGAATGCTTACGTTTGTCTTGATGGAAGAGGATGTCAATCACAGGGAGGGTCTGGTCTGATGTGCGCATTCGGTTGTTTCAAAATGCAGTTTTCCTGCAGGAAGTGGCCATTTATTAATGGTTGCTTGGCTGGATTGGATAGTTTTCCTTTCTTCCAATCAATTTTTGGCACTAGAGACCAGCAACACCAATTTAATGAAAAATCTGCTTGTCAGTTTGCTGGGGAAGCAAAAAAGCACCTCACCAATAACAATAAAATAACAAATGCAACCATAAAACTCGTGGCCAGACTGAACTTTTGCATTTTATCTTGTTTTATGGACGCCTGCCCTCAAAGCCATAGGCCCTTGTCTTCAGCATTCCCACAGTCCTCCCTCTAGCTGCTTAAAGATCGACCAAATTTCACTGCTGCCCTGGGAAGATTTTCTTATTCATTAAGTTGGCGGCAGAAGGAAGGCCTGCACAAAATAATGAATTCTTTCGACAAACAGCACTGGGTTTTGTGGGGACCCTGCGGGGTCTGCAACTTTCTCTGTTTTTTTAAGCCTCAGTCTCCAGACCTCTAAAACAATAAACAGATGACAGCACGTACTGTATGTGGATGTTAGATAATAAACACGAAAGGACATGCTCGGGGGCTGGAAAGATGGCTCGGTGGTCGCTGCATACGCATGAGGACCAGAGTTTAGTGAGCAAGCAACCACATACATGTCAGGCAGACGTGACAGCCTGCCCATCACCCCAGCATTCAGGAGGCAACTACAGGGGACTCACAGAGCAAGTTAGATGGATAGACTAGCTGAATGAGCCAGCTCTAGGCTCACGTGAGAGGGAGATCCTGCCTCACTCTGTAATAAGGAGGGGAGGCTCCGAGGGAGGTCCTGCATCAATCTCTAACCTCCACACGAGGCTTCACATGTGCCCACACACATGTAAGCATGCATACATACACACACCAAAATCATTTGTAGTAATTTACCTGGGTGCCAGGGGAGAATAATTTCTCAATTAAAATTTTTCATCTTCACCAACAGCAACAGCTTTGATACCCCTGACTACAGACCCCTCCTTCCTCAGGCCCTTCTCTTTGAACTCTCTCTGGTGGCCTTCAGTGCAGAGACACCTCGCGTCCAAGCTGGAGTTTTGGTGGATGGGAAGAAGAGAACCTGGTCTAGGGCTTGTGTTTTGTTTTGTTTGTTTGTTTCCTGCCATCAAGAGGGAGAGTGATGTTTCTGAGGGAAACATTGTGTTAAGGCCATGCTAACCCTGCAGATTTGTAGCTGGGTCTCTTTTGCATGGAGACATCTTTGGTTGCCGTTTATCCGCGTGCCTCTGAAAGGCCAGGTGGAGAAAATGAACCTATGGGCATAAACAGTCACATTCCCCGTCGGCCCTGATGGATATTTGTCCATTAATTCTCTTTTGCACCCTCTCTCTCGTGCCTTCATTTTCCCTATGCAATTATTGCCCTCGGTCCTCTCGGAGAAGGGAAAGCATGCATTCCCCAATAGCATTTTACATCCACAAATCAACTCTATAATTGGCACCTCGTGACGGGTACCCACAAATCACAGTGCATTTGAAATTACAGGAACAAGATGGAGAGAGTATTTTTAGCCGTGTCTGGGAAGGTCTTCATAAACCCATGTGAGAGTAATAGACTAGCCCCCAAATCTCCCATTCCAACACCATTCCCCATTATTTTAAAATCATTGTATTTGCTGAGCTTACATAATTTTTCAGCCATTGGTAGGAGAATGTATTTGCATACTCCGTGGTCTCTCTCCCAGCAACTCTCTATAAATAAAAATGTTACAACAGAAAGACACAGGTTATCAACGATACAATGGCTAAGCATCCGGGTTCCTCTTTAGACGGATGTATGCCGATGCTCCAAGTGCCTTGGGACTGTTTGCCAGTGATGTGCCAAGGGCCAAGGTAACTTTCTTAGGAGCCAACACACTCCTGTGCTGCGATGCTGGTAGAATTTGCATTTCGATCTAGATTTCCTGACAGCCACACACGTGAATTTAGCCACTGCCTCATTATAGGAGTATCTGAATGATATTTGATCCCGTAATGGTTAACTCGTGATAGTATCCACGCATAGAGAATTGTGGTTTTGCCAAGTTAAAAAGAAACAGCCAATGGATGGCATGGAAGACATCCTTTAGGGTCTGGAGGTGTACTCGGTTGCCATAGTGCTTGCCTAGCATGCGTAAAAGCTGGGTTCCATCCACAGCACCACAGGAACTGAGTGTGATGGTGCCCACTTGTAATCCCAGCACTGGGGAGTTAGAGGCGAGAGGATCAAGGGTTCACACCCTGCAACATAACAGATTTGAGGCCATCCCGGGCTACGTGAGGCCCTGTTCCAAAATTAAAATGTGTCATTTGTCTTTTTCCCTGCTTCTGTTTTTTACCAGCTTGTGACTGGTGAAAGTATAGATTAAATTGCTATTCAGTTCAGCCTGGGTAAATGGGGACACGGGGACAGACTCCGAGAGCCGTTACGTTTAGTTCATCTCTCTGTATCTCTTGCAGGCTATGCCCAGGAGGAAGTTCTGAAGGAAGAGGAGGAAATAAAGGAGGAAGAGGAGGAGGAGGAAGACAGTGGTTCGGTGGCTCAGCATCAGGGCAGTAATGACACGGGGACAGATGAGGAACTAGAAACAGTCCCGGAGCAGAAAGGCTCCTTCAGCTGCCAGAACTCGCCAGGGAGCCACCTGTCCAACCAGGACGCAGAAAATGAATCACTTCTGAGTGATGCCAGTGACCAGGTGTCAGACATCAAGAGCATCTGTGGCCGAGATGTCTCGGACAAGAAAGCAAACGCTCACCGCAAGCTTCCAAGCGAACCCCATAACTGCATGGATAAAATGACAGCCGTCTATGCCAATATCCTGTCAGATTCCTACTGGTCAGGCCTGGGCCTTGGCTTCAAATTATCCAACAGCGAGAGACGGAATTGTGACACCCGCAATGGCAGCAGCAAGAATGATTTTGATTGGCACCAAGATGCCCTGTCCAAAAGCCTCCAGCAGAACTTGCCTTCCCGGTCTGTCTCTAAGCCCAGCCTATTCAGCTCTGTGCAGCTGTACCGGCAGAGCAGTAAGATGTGCGGCTCGGTGTTCACCGGGGCCAGCAGGTTCCGCTGCAGACAGTGCAGCGCGGCCTACGACACTCTGGTGGAGCTGACCGTGCACATGAATGAGACAGGCCACTATCAAGATGACAACCGCAAAAAAGATAAGCTCCGACCCGCGAGCTACTCAAAGCCCCGGAAAAGGGCCTTCCAGGACATGGACAAAGAGGACGCGCAGAAGGTTCTGAAATGCATGTTTTGCGGCGACTCCTTTGATTCCCTGCAAGACCTGAGCGTCCACATGATAAAGACAAAACATTACCAAAAAGTGCCTTTGAAGGAACCGGTACCAACCATTTCCTCTAAAATGGTCACACCAGCCAAGAAGCGTGTTTTCGACATCAACAGGCCTTGCTCCCCGGACTCCACCACGGGGACACAGGCAGAATCGTTTTCTTCCCAGAAAAACACCAACTTGCAGCTGCCCTCCAACAGCCGCTACGGCTACCAAAACGGAGCCAGCTACACCTGGCAGTTCGAGGCCTGCAAGTCACAGATCTTAAAGTGTATGGAGTGTGGCAGTTCCCATGACACCTTGCAGCAGCTCACCACCCACATGATGGTCACAGGTCACTTTCTCAAAGTCACCAGCTCTGCCTCCAAGAAAGGCAAGCAGCTGGTGTTGGACCCGCTGGCCGTGGAGAAAATGCAGTCGCTGTCCGAGACCCCAAACAGCGAGTCTCTGGGCGCTAAGCCGTCAAGTAACTCTGCCTCTGACTGCACGGCCTCTAGCACCGAGTTAAAGAAAGAGAGCAAGAAGGAGAAGGCGGAGGAGATCAACGAAGACGAGCAAGGGGTGAAAGGCGAGGAATACGAAGACCCTCTACAGAAACCTCTCGACCCCACCTTAAAATACCAGTATCTGAGAGAGGAGGATTTGGAAGATGGCTCAAAGGGTGGAGGGGACATCTTAAAGTCACTGGAAAATACTGTAACCACAGCCATCAACAAGGCCCAAAACGGTGCTCCCAGCTGGAGCGCATACCCGAGTATCCACGCAGCCTACCAGCTGTCAGAGGGTGCCAAGCCACCCATGGCAATGGGCTCTCAGATACTGCAAATCAGACCCAACCTCGCCAACAAGCTAAGGCCCATCGCGCCCAAGTGGAAAGTCATGCCGCTTGGCCCTGTGCCCACAAACCTGGCCCTGTACACTCAAGTTAAGAAGGAGACAGAAGACAAAGACGAAGTCGGAAAGGAGTGCGGGAAGGAAAGTCCCCGTGAAGAGGCAACATCTCTCAGCCAGTCTGAGGGGGAGTCTTTCTCCAAAATTGAAACACCCTCAGAATCCAGAAAGGCTGAGCCCTGTCCCCCGAAGGAGGGAGAGAAGCTGCCGAAAGAGAAACCAGAGCCATTAGAACCTGTATCTTCTCTGAGCAACGGGTGCGCACCGGCTAACCACACCCCGGCCCTGCCTTGCATCAACCCGCTCAGTGCGCTGCAGTCTGTCCTCAACAACCACCTAGGTAAAGCTACTGAGCCTTTGCGCTCTCCTTCCTGCTCCAGCCCCAACTCAAGCACAATCTCTATGTTCCACAAGTCTAGTCTCAGCGCAGTGGACAAACCGGTCCTAAGTCCCTCCTCCACCAGGCCGGCCAGCGGATCCCGACACTACCTGTTTGAGAACAGTGACCAGCCCATTGACCTGACCAAATCCAAAAGCAAGAGGGCCGAGTCCTCGCAAGCACAATCCTGCACGTCCCCACCTCAGAAGCATGCTCTCTGTGACATTGCTGATATGGTCAAGGTCCTCCCCAAAGCCACCACCCCCAAGCCAGCTGCTCCCTCGAGGGTCCCGCCCATGAAGCTGGAAATGGATGTCAGGCGATTCGAGGATGTTTCTGGCGAAGTCTCGACTTTGCACAAGAGGAAGGGCAGGCAGTCCAACTGGAACCCCCAGCACCTGCTCATCCTTCAGGCGCAGTTCGCCTCGAGCCTCTTCCAGACATCGGAGGGCAAATATCTGCTCTCTGACCTGGGCCCACAGGAGCGGATGCAAATCTCAAAGTTCACGGGACTCTCGATGACCACAATCAGCCACTGGCTGGCCAATGTCAAGTATCAGCTTAGAAAAACAGGGGGGACAAAATTCCTGAAAAACATGGACAAAGGGCACCCCATCTTTTACTGCAGTGACTGTGCCTCCCAGTTCAGAACCCCCTCTACTTACATCAGCCACTTAGAGTCTCACCTGGGCTTCCAAATGAAGGACATGACGCGGATGGCGGCTGACCAGCCAAGCAAGGCGGAGCAGGAGATCTCCCGGGTGTCGTCGGCTCAGAGGTCTCCGGAAACAATAGCCGGTGAAGAGGACACAGACTCTAAATTCAAGTGTAAGTTGTGCAGTCGGACATTTGTGAGCAAACACGCAGTAAAACTCCACCTAAGCAAAACGCACAGCAAGTCACCCGAGCACCATTCTCAGTTTGTAACAGACGTGGATGAAGAATAGTTCCGCAGGTACGGGTTTGCTCCCAGGTGATGGTGACCATGGCCTTGTGAGGAGCATGCTCAGAGGAGATGGGTCTGCTCAGAGGCAGAGGGTGTCTCCCGAGGCCACGCAGGACCATAGTTTGCTGGCATAGACTTAATTTTTTACAAAAGACAGAACATGAGTGGGTCCCAGCCATTCCCCCATGTCCTTCAGGTTAGTGGGGAAGTAGATAGAATGCGTCTGAAAGAGATGAGGCTCGTGTTTGCTTACAGAGCTGTGGGACACACAATTCCCTTAGCATCCTAAGGCCCGACCTCCAAGAGGACTAGATTCCATTCTGCCGGCTGCCTTCTCATGGCAATGCTAATAGAGAGAGGAGAGGTGAGCACTCAAGTGAAGACGGAGGACTTATTCGGGCCCATCATATACAGAGATAGCTTACTCAGTTCACGAATGGCTTAATGTTATCTTTATGGTCCTTGCAAGGAATACATTATATAGCTAACTTCTATCAATGGTACCTTTCCACTCCTTGCCTGTTTCTTTCCCACATTCGTTTTCCTACAAAAGAGCAGGTGCCCCTTAAGGGGAAGCGTTGGGATGCACTGTTCTCTATGGAACAGGGAGATGAGGATGGAGGAGGCTTTTCTTCCTCTCTCGCCTTTTGGTTTTCTTTAGGATAAACTCTGGGTCGAGTCCACCGTTAACAGACAGATGCAAAGCATCCCTGAGAGTTTATTTTGTGTATAGAGATGGATAGCTTGTAACCCGCATATGGTTAAGGACATCGGATCCATCCCACAGCTTCAAGGTCATTTTTTATTGAGCTAGAGGGGCAGTTAGGTAGCAAAACACTTGCCCAGTGTGCCTAAGGTTCTGGGTTCAAGTCCCAGTGCCAAAAAGAAAAGAATTTGTACCATATATCATAGAAGTTCATGTCTTATATAGTTACCAGTAACCAAGTTACTTATGTCACCTCCAGGAGAAAGGACGGAGACCAAAGGCAGATGCCTTAGCAGATCAGTACCATAGGCTGTTTGCAATTGTTGAGCATAAGCAAGGCTGGATGTCCACAACCCTCCCTCATGGGACTCCTAAGCTTCCTTTTCTCTACCCTCCAGCATGACACTCCCACACTCTAAGGACCCCAATACATATTTAGATTGACCTCTGCCTGGGGTTACACCCCAACACGAGGACCCAACATAAACGAAAGCTTCTGCTTTTTCCAGCCCAGCTTATATCCCACAGCATTGCTCTTAACTCATTCATGGTAAAGTCTGGAAAGCTGGTAATGGCCTATTGTATGAACCCCCACCACCCCCTATTTTCAAAGCATTTACTTTACACAGGGGTGGAGGGGGGGCGTTCAGGTCAAGCTTTGCAGGTGTGAGCGGTAAGGGAGTTCCCAGTAGAGCAGGGTCCTTATCCGGCAAGGCTCTGAGTGCACCGCCAAGGGGCAGAGAAGTTCTGAGTATGAGGCGGTTAAGACAAAAGACAAGAAAACACATGCTTGACTTGAGACTCACCCTCCGGGTGGGCATCCATGCTTCTGATTTGGGTGGGCTGCAGCGAAAGGCCACCCCTGTTGTTTGCATGCTTTTGCCATGAAAATTAAATGTTCCGGGCAGATTCATCTCCGGGTTTCCAAGCATGATTGTACGTCTTCCCTTACTGAATGGAACGCTGTTCTGCATCTGTCGAACCCACGCGTGAGCTCGGGGTTCTGCCTCATGCTATTTATTTGCCATATCACATTTTAACTTTTTATGTAATTAGCCACTATGCTCTTCTGGACCTTAAAAAGAAAAAAAGGTGGACATACGTAAAGTACCTAGAGACAAGAAGTGTGTTTCCGATCTAACAACTGTGGGTCCGAACCACAGTGAAGAGAACAGACAGGTGATGTTTATTTTGTGCTATAATAAAGACCAATTTTCCACCTGTTAGGTCTGTAATCATTTTTTAACTGCGATATGGAAATAGGGAGAAGGGAGGCAAAAGGAGGGTTTCATCCCGCCTGAGTCAGAATCCGAAGCGTGCACTAGAGACGTGAAAAGCAACCGATAATTCGGGGAATATACACAAAGGCTACTTGTAAATCCAAATCCACATGGGTAAGATCGCTCTTTTTGCATCTGTCCACACTTGTAAAGAACAAATACTTCTAATTTAGGACAGATTGATCATTACAGAGAGTAGCAAGGCTCTGGCTTCGTGCATTCACCCCTGTGCTGGGACGTCAGACCGGGCTGACGTCAGAGGTTTGGAGTCATTCCGTCCAATGGGAGTGTCTCACATGTGTTGAAGAGAGAATGTGGATGCCGGTGTATTTGTGTTTGAGGGAAACCATTCTAGTCTGATTAAGTGTTTGCCCCCATGGGTGACGAGACGGTGTCTTGGAGCTTGGCTCATCTGGAAAGAGCACTCCAGGGGAGCTGTTCACGGAAGCCCCGCCCACTTCTTAGAGCTTATGCTTACGATAGTTTGTTTCCGCTGTTTTTTCTTAATTTTATAACTTTATTATCAAAGAAAAAAGCTTGACGGTCTTAATGACCACAGGATTCTACTGTCATCTGGAATTCTGATCTTAGCTGATATGGAGGACGGCGCAATGTGTGAAAATGATGTGGTATTTTGGGAAAACGTGAGGGTATGACGGGGTAGTCAAGTTTATCATGTCTAGGTGTTTCTAAACAACATGAATTCCAACCTGAATCTTCTTTCCTCTCGTGGGCCTGCCTTAAATCCTCTGAGCACCCTGCCAAGTAGCAAAGTCAGTGCTCACTTAAGGTTCCTTAGAAAGTATAAAATGGGCACCCCCTCTTTTAGGACACAAGTTATCTAAAACAATCATAGAACATGTTTGTATACGCCTTTAAAAGTCTCTTGCTCTTGACTCGAAATTAAAGAGAGTAAATCACTGAGTCTCAAATGCATAAGGGCTTCAAATTATAGTCATTACCACGTAATATAGTGTACGCATTTAACAGTACACCTAACCTTGAGCTGGCTGGCAGAAATGTATTCTCGTCCAACAAGCTACCTGCCACTCCTGTTATGGATGGCTTGATGGGGATGTATGTTCAGGGCGAAAAGCATGGAAGGCTGCCAGCTACGATGAAGGATGGACGTCTAATCCAGATGAACTTGCCCTTCAGATAAATCACGGAGTCTGAGTATAGCTGTGTCCCAAATAACATGCGGACCATAGTTTTATCTTCAAAAAGAAGTCGTTGTTTACACAAGATCCATTTTTTAACATGGAAACCTGTAATTCTGTCCTTATTAATCACGTAGATTACATACCAATCTAGGGAGAGCCGAACAGGCTGGAGTCAGTAAGGCCTGTAAGAGGTACACACTGTTGCTCCGTTCATTAAAGAAAGTCCCTTCTTTCCATTCCTCCTCCCTCGGCAAATGCTGGTCGTGTTTCACCTTGCACCCCAGTCTATTTAGTGATAGCCTTAGCCGTGAGCCAGCAGGAACACCAATTACAATAGCAAACTGCCGGGACTTGTAGCAATGGCTTCACAAGCATCCCTTCACACTAGTCTCACAAACAGTCCTCTGAAGTGTGGGTGAGCCAAAGAAATAATGGCACAGGCACAGTACTGCATCCCCCAAAGTCCCACCACCTCTGACCTTCATTTACGCATTAGCTCAAATCAAGAAGACCATTGGCCCACGGCAAACATGGTAGTGATCCCAGGAAATAAAATAATGGCCAAAACGAGGGTCTGCCATGGAGGCCAGAGGTAGGCATACAGATAGCAACTCACGGGGAGCTGCTGAATGGAGTGCACCAGGGCGGGGGGATGGGCCTTTCCCCATCCCAGGGTAACAGAGATGAGGAGCACTCATTCTGGGGAGGATGTGGATGCTCAGGTCTTCCCCCCCCCCGCCCGGCTTCCAATGTCATCCCATCCACCATGCTAAACCCTGTTTTATTTGTAAGATGGGGACATTAAAGCCTGCCAATAGGAAGGATTTGAGAATTGCCTAAGTGCATGGGATCTCCTTGCAGAAGGCCTGGTATTCAGTCAGCCCACAGAAGGAAGTCCTGCAGAATCTGCATAGCCCTTCTCTGTCCTGAAGCCTCGCTGGAAGCACCTAGACTCGTCAGTCCTCTCCGCTGACTGACTCATGGCCAGATAGCTGTTCCCCTTGCAAACGTCAGCCTCTGAGTGTGGTAGTAACAACACGGCTATTGGCCTCTTCCTAGGAGTCAGGAGTGGCTACACTCGGCACCCTCATTTTGAAGAAAGGAAATCCTCAGTGACTAGGTCCCTCCATACACACGCAGTCAGCGAAGGTGGGAGCCCCAGCCTCAAGCACCACGCATCTATCCAAAGCTCCTCTGCTATCTTCTGCCCTTGGCTCCTCCTCCTCGCCTGAGCTGAGGGCCCCCTGCATGACTGACAGACAATGCAGGGGAAAGGCTGGAACATGAGGGGGAGAGGTGTGCCAAAAACAAAGGTTCCCCAAGGCTTCTGGGAAACCCCAGCTGTAAACAAATGAACCGCGATGGCCGAAGGGCAGAGATGCATTATGGGAAATGTGTCCTAAAGCAATTTCACTATTGCGTGGACATCACAGAATGAGCACAGACAGCCTTGGTGTCACTGAGTGCCGGATCTCAGGAAACCACCGCGATACTCGGAGTCAGATGTTGACCAAAACAGAAATATTACACAGAAATACGGGGACCTAGGGATGAGCCGTGGGGCAAAGCGGGCCTCCTCCTTCCTGTCATCTTAATTCCTCCAGTTGTATGATAAGCATTTGTATAGAGTATCTAAGACATTACCCCAATCCACATGGGCCTATGGATATATCATTTTCACTCAGGAATTCATCTTAGGCGAACAACATAAGATAAGGGTGGTTTGGCCACGGTGGAGAGGAGATGAGAACCCAGGCCGCAGGGTCCTGCAGGAGGCCCTGGTCCTTCTCAAGTAGCAAGAACCAGATGCAGAATCTTTTCTAACTCTCTTTTTTCATTTCATTTGAGTGATCTGCCTTA